GCCTGTAAAATCAGCTGGAGAAGGAAATGTCAAACCTCTCCAGTGTCTCTGCCAAGAAAACCCCAAATGGGCTCATAAAGAGTCAGACACAACTGAAAAGATTGAAGAAAATCAGGATAGTACTACTTATTGTGGCTGTCCTACCAGGCTATTATAAGGAAAATGCTTTGTAAACTGTCAAGTACTCCATGAATATGAGCTGTGCATTTATACTTGGAGCCACAGTGCTCAAAGAAATAAATTTCTAATGTTGGAATTACAGTAGAAGAGAAAGTTCCTGACTTCCATCGTAGTCATAGGTATTAGCAACCACCTGGACTCAACAGTTTGCTGAATTGTAAAGATGCCATTTAGATAAAGGATTAGACATGAGAACGATATGTACGCTCTGATACTTTTAAATGAATAAATTCTATTAACAGTAGGTTGAGATTTCTGGGAACATCCCCAGTTACATCTGCCTAGGCTGTCCCTACGGTATAGAGACAGTTTTTGGTGGAAGATTTCCTAGAATGAACTTTTTACAAAGTCACAAAGGGAGATTTTGTAGCAGTAGGAAGTCTGCCCCTCAATCAGAATGTAACTTCCATAGAATCTAATAGGTGAAATGCAGTGGGTGATCCTGAGTGACTTAGTACAAATGTTAGGATCAGATATTACAATATAAGTGGATTTTGAAACCTACCATCTTCATTGGAATAGCAGTTATGGCATAAAGGCATCATAGTACAGTGGAAAGAACTTGGGCTTTAGAAGACCTGCCTTCAGACCCTGCTTGTTTGTTACTGCCTGTGTAACCTGGAAGTCAGTTACTTAGCCTCTCTAGGCCTCAGTTTCATAATCTGTAAAATGAAGGCATTTAGACTAGATGTGTACACAGGTAGGTGGTGATACAGATAGAATGCTGGACTTGGAGTCATTGAGACTGAAGGTCAAATCTTGTTTCACAACAGTGTGCCTGGGCAACTTCACCCAGCCTCAGTTTCCTCATCTATAAAGTGGGGATAATAACGATATTGTACCTACTTATAGTGTTTTTGTGAGGATCAAACGAGGTAATATATGTAAAAAGCATTTTACAAACCTTAAAAGTCCCATATAAATTTTAGCTGTTGTTAAGTAGCTTCTGAGTTATCATTTAGCTTTAAGTCTGAACTACATAAATAGTATTTTTGTCAACTTATTCACATCCCAGAAGTAAATTTGGCATTTTTGCCCACTGATTAAATCACTCTACTGTCACAAATATTAATAAGACATTCTTTGGTTTTATTGTTGGTTTGTCTAATGAGATCACCTTTCCAAATTTTGAATAGCAAGATTTTATGTTACCATTTTTTAATCACACAAATAACTCAAAACATGGATCTGTGAATATAACACAAAATAAACTGAAGTCAGTGTGGTACATACCAAACTTTTTTAGTAGGAGGGGCTTAGAAGAGCAGAGTTCTTGTCCAGGCTGTGCCATCTGGGAAAAGGAACTCCTCTTTTCTAGGCAGCAGGGGGTTGGATTAGACACTTTACCAAGATGTGTTTCAATACTAACATTCTAGGAACTAAACAGTTCCATCATGCATGTTGGTGTAGATAACTTCAGAGTGGAAAGTTTGACATAGTTGACCTTCAGCGCTTCAGTGATGAACATGTCATGTTCATCTGTGTTTTATACAGGCTTTATTCTGGAAGCTCATCCCTCCCAGGAGCAGCAGGAGCTGATCTTCCAGGTATGATACCTTCAGTGTGCCAGTGGCATCATTTTGGCCTCAAGGCATTTTGGAATTGTACTTAGCTATTTTATTGAGAGAAGTTAAGTCATTGGTTTTCATTCTGTTCTTCAAGGTTCTGAAGAAGTGGTCATTCCAAAGAGAAGAACTTGGTAAGTGGTGCTGCCATCTGAAGATAGTGATCGTTCTGACTTGGAAGAAATGTCAAGGTGATCTGTGGAGTCAAATGTAGGGTCAGCATTTGTGTAATATTTGTTGCTCTGTAGTGGTGACACCCATTTAAGAGTCCATGACAAAGAATCGAAAGGATTCGCTTCTGGTGCTGATCCCACCATTTGTTGACCCAGTGTTTCTCTGAATATAAAGCGACTAGGCCACATTTGGCAGTCTTGGGCACAGAAGGATGGCCATATAGCAAACCTAGTTTAAAATAACCTGAGAGGCCAGTTTATTTCTAGGAACATCCTGATGATTCAGCTTCCTTCTGGTCTTTCCAGGACCAACCTGGAACCAAGTCAGACCTGAGAATATTCATGTAACTGTTACCTGCTTTGGATCCCCATCTTCAAAACACAGGTTGAAGCATAAGCATCTTTCACGCTGTCCTCATAACTTTAAAATAGAGCCAAGTTAAGCCCCAGCTGAGTGGCCGTTGTTGTGCTTGGTCCTCCCAGGTAGCATCTGAGGCCAAGGTTTCATGAAATAGAGCCCAAACCGATCCTTGATGGGGAGGTGGGTGTGGATTAGATGTAATGGAAAGAACAGTAGATCTTAGAGCACAGTGACTTGGGTTTGAATTCCAGCTCTGATGATTAGTAGCTTTGTAACCATAAGTCAATCACTTATACTTTCTGGGCCTTAGTTTACCATTTTGTAGATGAAATCCATACTGCTTGAGCTACCTACCTTACAAGGTTATTGTGAGGTAAGCATTTCGTGAATCTTAAAATGTGTGATTATTATTTTTGTTATAAGTATCACTGGACCTTTCCATCTCACTTGAAGCTTAAACCTATCTGTGTTATCCCCCTATTAGAATGTCTTAAGTTTCCTTTTGTATTTCCAACCTTGGCGAAGTGCTTTGCATACAGTAAGCACATAGTAAGTGCTTTTTTTCATTCATTCTTAAAGTCCTTGAGTGTCACGAGCAAAGCTGTGGAGGTAGGAATTAGGATGGGGGGAATGGGGTGTGGACTGCTGAAACTTTGCTGGCTAGGAAAAAGTCACTGTGTTAGAACAATAAAAAAGTGAAGTTAAATAGTAAAGGAGGGCCTGTTGGTATCAAAGTAAGGGCTTGTGACTTAGAATCTTAACATTTTTGACCTATGAAATACCAGAGAAATAATTTAGTCCAGTTTTGTTTTACAGATCAGTAAGTCGAACCCAAAGAGGCTGCAACTTCCTCAAAGTCACAAGACCATTAAGTGGTAGTGGTGGGTTTGTTCTAATCAATAGGAATTGTAGGCTTCCAACGTAATAAAAGCTGACCTCAGAAATGATTAATTTATTAATGGAGTGAGGTCAAGGAGTTTGGAGGCAAAGAGACTAATTATGCTAGGGTTGCAATAATCCATACTAATTTGGGGACCAGTAACAGATTTTAACTTCATCATCTGTTCCATCGTTGGCTGCAACCTGAAAAGATGGCTAATTTGCTTTGATACTTATGCTAAGATGACACTTTTCTATTCCCAAGCTGAAACAACATAGAAAAGACTTTTTTTCTTGAGAAAAGGATGATGAGATGTAATAAAAAGTTAGTAAACTGTGAGCTGATTTAAAGAAATTTAGTTTACCTATAATTATTTACATTTCTTAAACCTTCCTCTTAGCCTGTTGTCATATTGGTAAACAGTTGCTTTATACTTACAGTTTGAAAGGGGATATAGAAAGAAATTAGAATCAGATTTCATATCAAAGGTGAAAGCAGTTAGTTTCTCCAGAAGGCAACAGTTCAGTGAGTGTTATTTAGTAGCTGATGCCATTAGTGCTAAGGAGATAGGTAGGGCCCAGTAGGTCAGAGGGTGCCGCCTAACAACCAGGAGGTGTGAATGGCAGCTTTGACAGCCATGCCATAAAGAGGAGGGTGAGCGGACTGACTGAATTCATCATTTTGTGTAGATTTAGTATTCATTCCACAGGCATTTAATGCCTGCTAGTTACTTACTGTAAGTCACTGATCCGGGGTGAGGCAATCTCTTAAGAATCTAAGTTGCAGAGAAGGTGCTGAACTGCATTAGTGAAGGAAGCTTCTTCCCCTGGGACTTGTGTCCACCGATGAAATCCCAGGTCTGATCCCCTTCCCTTTGTGTACAAGATTGCTGAATCCATCTTTGGCAGAGAGGTGATGGACCAGAGGTGCAGAATGACATGGACAATATAGGTCACAACTGGTATATACATTTATTTGGCTTCACTTAAACTTATTTGTTACACAGGAGGGCTTTGGGGGGGAAGTGAGAGGTCACTATGATAGAGAAACATAAAGAAAATGTAGGTGAGCACACAGGCAGTTTTAGAAGATAAGCAATGTAGTGTGGTACTGCTGGGTTTAATACATGCTTAGAAAAAAACAAGCTGTACATCATAAATTCACAGTTTCATATGTAATTCTTTTTTTTTCCTGGTCTTTGCATGTGGTTATTTTCACATATGATGTTGATCAAGAGTATTTTAAAAAAGGAAAGAAAATTTGGAGTGAGGTCATGGCTGAAAATTGCCTAGTATAAGTCATTCATTTTGCTCTGCCCTAAGGTGCTTGCCAGCTCAGAAGGGGAAGGAGGTAATCATTGCCACTCTGTATGTGTCTCACAATTTGTTCATTATTATGAATAAAGTAAAGCGGGTAGTCTTCTTCTCCCCATTTTACAGATGAGGTAACTGAAGCACAGAGTGGGTATGTGATTTGACCAGAGTTGCACAGCTAAGAAAGTGTCTGAGGCAGTATTCAGACTCAGTTCTTCCTGATCCTGGGTTTTGTCCTCTGCCACCTAGTTTCCCCATAGAAATTGTTTTTGGGTGGCCTGTGATTCCTTTTACTGCTTTTCCTATTGTTTTTCCCTTACTGCATTCTCTGCCCTTTTTTCTCGTGGATTACTGCAAAATGAGATATGACTGTAGTTCAGAGAGTGAATTCATACTGTGACCACTTCTGCCAGACAAATGGGAACAGACCTAAGGCCAGATTCCCTTGGATTACTTGGTGAAGGGACAAAACTAGTTTTCATGTTAAATTGTATTTCCATGTTTTAATTCTCATTTTTAGGGATAATACAGCAGTTCTTCAAGCTCTGGCATCCACCACCCAGAGGGTAAGTAGTATTTTTTGGATGCTTCATCTAAGCTGTGCAGTAATGCTTTTAGTAATAGTGAGACTTCCATTTCATGAGCTTATTTCTACACAGTTATTCTATTTCATAATTTTCACATCTAATAGAGAATCAACCCGTTTCTAAAGCACTTTTTCCTCATCAAGTCTGTGGAGTCAGTAATTGAAGTATCATTATCCACATTTCAGTGATGAGTGTCCCTGGAGCATGGAGAAGTTAAGGTCTTTGTGCATGGTAGAAAAGCTAGTAAGGACCAGAACTTCGAGTCTAACCCAGGTCTTTGACGAGCTCTCGGCCTGGGCCCTGAAGGGGAGAGCCACCTTTCTCACAGAGGAGCATCACCGCAACTTAACAGACTGATTTGTACTATTTGTTATAAAGCAGAATTGCTGAAGCACACTTCTTTTGGACTGGATTAATGATTTATGTCCTCACGTTAAAAATCCATAAACTATACGTAGATGCTTTTGACTGTCCGTTCAGAAAAAATACTTCATGTTCTAGACTAGCCATTCCGCTGTGGGAAGACCCAATGTTTCCCAACATAACAGAGTTTAGGCCTCCCTTGTTTCTCACGTAGCGCCAGGAGCCACACTGGGAAGTACACCAGGGAAGTACATGCCAGGAGTACACCAGGAAAGCCAAGTCTGTTTTGAAGTCCTGAGAAAGTTCATGCCCCAGACCACGGAAGGGAAGGTTTGGGAATCTGGTTTCCCAGAGAGCCCCAATACTTGTCCAATATTGAAGTTTCTTGTCCTCTCCAGCGAAGGCAAACATTTAGAGATCATACGCCAACTTTTCTTAACTGCTTGTATATAGTGCCCCAAAATGTGTCCTGATATTGAATTGTTCTTAATGCTTGGTTTAATGGCCACACTCACTGATTTTGCTCCTCATTGGGAATTTCCACATTGAGTCTCAAGTCCTCCGCTTTAAAGCAAAGTGGTAAAAATTTCAGAATCTCCTTTGGAGTAAATTGATTATCACCAGAATGATGAAACTAAAGAGGCTTAATCTGTCTTCTCCCCAGGATCCTACAGCCGCCCATTACATATTCCAGGATGATCCTTTCCTCACCCCAGTCACGTCTTCAGAAGCCGTGAGTGTTTTCATATAACCTTGTTGTATCCCAGTCCCTGGGGTGGTGGGGGTGGTGAGCCAGCTGTGGTGTGTAATAAGACTTGTCACTCAGCCTTATCCACAAGTACAGGTGCTGAATGGTAACATTCCAGAATGTGATTGCAATTGTTTTAGGGACAATTGGCACTGAAATGGAAAGGTGTGAAAGGTAGAGAAGATCTTGTGGCAAGGGACCCAGTGAGAAGGCTTCTTTATGGTCAGGTCAGATACCTGAGCACGTTTGGAGTCAGCTAGAAAGGGGGAAGAGACTAAGTGGTGAATTTATATTCATTGATGTAATCAAGGTGGTCCTGTATTTTTTTTCTCTGTCCTCTATTAATAATAAGGAATGATGAAAAAAAGATTCTGAAAAACGCGATTAATTTTTCTTCCTTACCCTTTGAACCTAAATAAAAATGAATACCAGCTAATGTCTAAATCTGCCTCTTTTTTTTATACAGCGTATGTTTTTATTGGCAAAGGATTCTGGAAAGAATGCAGCAAAATATGTTATTAATACATATCCCAAATTTTTTGAGAAGGATATAGCTGGACCGCATATACCGGTAGGTAGAGCTTGGTCATTTCCCATTCTAGATAAGTTTATTTTGAGGTTTTCTTTGAGATGATCACTATTTGCCTAGTCATTGAGGAGAAATCTTCTAAAAGCATTGTGCTGAGTTGGATAGCAGAGGGAGCAGAAGAGAGATTCCTCTACTCTTAAATACTTTATTCTCCTCTTTTTTAGTAAGAAAAAAGAGGTGGTGTGATTACAAGGTGACAGAGGTAGTCAGTAACTAGCAGATAACTTTGCAGGTAACTTTCAGCAAGTTTTCAAGGAACACATGGACTCGAGGTCCTTTTCCAAGATGCTTATCTGGTGGAGGAGAGAGGGAAACCTTGACAGTTCTTGGAGAGTTGAACCCCTGAAACCTGACTGGGCAGTTCTCATCCCCCTAACATCTGGCCTGTTTTTAGTGCCTGATGCCTGAGTACTTGGACCCTCAGCTTGAAGAAGTAAGTGAGGCTGCCCTCCAGGAGCGCATCCGGCTTCACAGAGTCAAAGCCTCTGTGGACATGTTTGACCAGCTCCTTCAAGCAGGTAACAACATTTTAAATTACCTCAGCTCTTAGGAAAGAGGCCCCAAGCTCCTCTACCTGACCTTTTTCTCACCTGCTGAGTTAGTGTGCTGCTTCTCAAATTTCTCCTGTGATGTTCTGAATCGGGAGCTTTTCCAGGGTACGGACTGGCTTTTGCCTTTCTTTGAATACCCAGTGCTTAGCATAACACCTGGCATACAGGGGGTGCTTAATACATGTTTAGTGGCTGACTGAAGACTACAGTGACAAAGAAGCGACCCAGACCCATGTACATCGTGTTGTCCTGGGGCATTTCAGAGCAGTAGTTCTGTGACCAGCTCTCTGGCAGTTTGCTTCATTGTGCCAGTGGTTATTTGCATCCAGACTGCCCTGTGTCCTGTAGCAGGCCTGGACCGTTACTTGTATAGTTTGGGAAGGGTGATTGAAAGGCTTTTTAAAAGTGACAATAGAAATGGCCAAACAGAAAATAGCATCCGACTCTCCCGTGGCCGCATCGGCATTTTCAGCCAGCATGGAAGAGGGATGGTGATTTTTGAAGGTGGAGGAAGAGAAGCTTTTCCTTCTGTCAGAATAATGACGGCAGGGAGTTAGAAGACCGGGTCCTTCTTGTAACCCTTGCCAATCGCTTTCCTCAGAGTTAAGGCTCAGACAGAGCCTTAGTTTCCTTCTTTGTAAAATAAGAGTACTGAGACTTCCCCTTCATGTCTTGGAAGATTACTTACAATGATTATCAAATGGTTCTATCTTGGCCATAGATCTTAGGGTTTAGAGCCAGAAAGGACCCTAAAGAGCCCCCTTCTTGTTTAGATGAAGAAACCGAGACCCCGAAGAGCGAGCCCATTTTCACTACCCTTTTTATGTCCAGAGCACGATCATCCCTCTAGTCACCTAGGTTTGCGGCCTTGAAAACATTTTTCCACCGGTCCCTCCCCCTCCCCAACCTCTTCGGTTGCCAGATAGAAGTGTGCCTTCTATTTCTACCACCTCTTTCCCATTTATGCTTGTCCATTAGTCCCTGTGGATTCATTTACCATCACTGCAGAGAACCCGTGAATCTGTGTCGCCCTCCTGAGTTCCAGTCCCCTCTTGCCAGTTAGTGTGAAATCCTATGGATTTCATGGAGGCATCTCAGCTCTCCGTGCTGACTTGAGTGATAACCTGACTCCTCCATCCCTCCAGTCTGTGTTTTAGGGGAGGGGGTACCAGATCCCTCCCGGGTATAGATTGAGCCAAATTAAGATGTAATTGGGCGGTAGTGTGCCCCCACAGGGATCCTTACGTACTGTTCTGTGGCCCATTTCTATTGGAGTTGGACACCATTGGACTAGATGACCTCGGAGTTCCCTTTCAGTTCTAAAGTTACATTCCTTCATCAAAAATGGAATCTGTTACTTTCTCCCCCAAACCCACCTCTCCTCTTCTCATGATGACGTCTGTTGTGGGCACTGCCGTTCTTCCATACTTGAGTCCTTAACCTCAGAGTCCTTTCTGATTCATCCCTCTCCCTTAATCCCCATATCCAGGCAGGTGCCAAGACTGGTTAGTTCCGTCTCTCCACCACTCAGCTGCTGCCCTACTTCAGGCCTTCTCACCTTCCCCCAGCATTCTTATCAAACTCTAGCCTACACCCTGTTCTCCTCTTCACCACTGCCTCTGCCTTCAAAATTCCTTCGGAATCTTCACCAGAAAGTCTTTCCCGTTCCCCAGATCCCCAAATCCCCAAATGCCCTCCGTCCTCGCATTTATTTTGCCTATATTTAGAAAAAGTACTTTTTGATTCTCCCATTAGACTCTAAGCTCCTGCAGAGTAGTGATTGTTTCATTCTTTATATTTACATACTCAAGGCCTGGTGCTTAGTAGGCTATTAATAAATGCATGTTGATTGTTGGATTGATTGATTTTCTTTGAATTCATATCCCTAGACTGGGATCTCTGGGTCAAAGGCTATAGATGATTTTTAGTCACTTTCTTAGCATAACTCCAAATTGCTTTCCAGAGTAGTCTGACCATTTGAGAGGTCCTCCAGTATATTAGCTAGGCTGTCTTTCTGCAGTCCTCTCCAATGTTGTCTTTGGGCATCTTTTGTCAGTTTTGCCAACGGGTTGAGTTTTGGATGAATTCTTAGTTGTTTTATTAGTAGATTGGAGCCATTTTTCATATGGCTGCCATTTCATAATTCTTATTTTGAGAGCTGTTTATTCATATCCTTTGACTGTTATAAGCTGTGGATTAGTTCTTGGTCTTATATAATAATTCCATCTGTGTCTTGGGTGCCTTTACCCAGAGATATGGTTTCTTCTCTTATCCTAGGTGCCTAGAGACTTTGATCTTGCCTTTCAGTTAATGAAATCCAAATAGGCTATTTGATCTTCCACAATTTCCCTTCCCCCTTGTTCATTTAAGAACTGCTCCCCTGGCCCTAGCTGTGTTGCTAGTTTTAGCCAATAATAATTGCTGTGCTTTTTGTACATCACTTTACAGATCCTCACAACAGCAGCTCCTGTGTTGTAACATGATTTGAGCTCTGGAAGGAGGCTTCTCTGGCTCTTGTGTTTTTCCACCATCCACAGGGACTGCTTGTCATTGTGTCTTTCACTCTTGAGCTTGCACCATGCTTTGCACATAGGTGCTTAATAACTATTGAATTAGAGTCAGAGAGACCTGCGCTCAGGCCCTTGCTCTGGGGCAGATCATTTTGTGACCAGAATAATTTTGTGATTTGGTCTAGGCCTCCTGTAGAATGGAGTGGGCATAGCAACTTGCCAGGACTATTGCAAGGAAAATGCTTTACAATCTTAAAAAGGGCAGTTATAAAACGTTGGCATTCAGAAGTGTAGTTGGCAGCAGGGTGCTTGGGTGCTTTCCCGTTTCATGGCCTCTTTTGTTTGCTTGTAGGGACTTCTGTATCTTTGGAAACAGCCAACAGCCTCTTAGATCTGCTGTGTTACTATGGTGACCAAGAGCCTCCACGAGAAGAGCAACCTCATCAAATTGATGAATCAGAATTGGTAAAGATCAGCACATTGGGCTTTGGGGTAGCTTGGGGGCTGCCATTATTTGCAGTGGGGAAAGCTCAGAAATGTTCCCAGTAAACACAGAAGTAAAGCAAGGATCACACTTCCTCACACAGTTTTTGTTAGCAATAGCAGTGAACTGAGATGAAAAAAATTAAAGACAGAGCAGACAAAATGAGCCATTTTCACTGATGAGCTGACAGCTTACTCAGAAAACCACAGAATCACTAGAGGAAACTAATTGAGACGACTGCTACCTTTGGTAAAATAAGATAATCTATAAATACACAAAAATCAATAGCATTCCTAAATGTCAGTAATAAAAATCTGTGAGAAAATAGAAAAGGAAATCTTGGAATAACTACAAAATGCTACAGAAGTTTCTGAGAGTCTGCTAAATTACACTCAAAAATTGTCTAAGTACAGTTGCAAATTCCTTCTTTAGAATTGCTTTTGGAATTTTAGAAAGTTTTTAAGTAGCTGTAACTCCCTGCCCTGCTTGGGCTTGGACCTGAGCACACGGGTATAGGGCTCTCACAGTGGCCTTGGGTTTGACTCGCTGACCTGGCCAAAGGCCAGTTGGGCATCTCAAAGCTGTGTGAAACAGGTCTTGTGACTTTGTGGGTTCTGATTCCATCTCTGTGATGAGTTTGTTATGTACCCTTAGATCATGTTTCTTCCCTGTGTTTCAGTCTCTTTAGACAGGGTGTCCCAGAAGTCTTCGTGTCATTTTAAGCATTTATGGTGTTAGTCTATAAGGAGACTTTGGGGACACCTTGTCTTTGTAACCAGAAAAGGGCACCATTTTCCCCTGCCTTCTGTCACTGAATTATAGGCTTTATACCCTTGAACAGGTTGGCTTTTGACCAACTTCTGCTGGTCACCGAAATAGGAGGCTTCCCTGTCTGCAGATTTGCTATCACTGCCGGTGCCCTTGTGACGGAGCAGTGAGGAAGTACTCTTAAATTTCCCCCCCCCCCCCCAAAAAAAACCCCACAAAAAACACAAAAACCCTGAACAAAACAAAATACACCTCTGTCTTCCAAGAACCCTGTGTCATCCTGAGGAGATTCCTTTGTCTTCTCTAAAGATGTAAACAACCTGATTCAGACACTTAAATACAAGTTTAGTTAAATCTGTTTACTTTGCTCCTGACACTTGACTGAAAAGGGGACCTGAGCAAAATGAGAAGCTGAAATAGGTGGTAAAGCAGGAGTGGCTTTGAATTTGGGACCATTGGAGGAGAGGGGTACTTAGCGGTGGCTAGCCAGTGAGGGAAAGGTGTTGCAGTGAAGAGCTTTGGGTAGTTGGGCCTCTGGGACATGGGTGCCAGGTTGGTGCTGAAGGCAGGCTTGAGGCACAGAATGGAAACTGCTTCTCAGTTTTGCCTGGGCTGTGCTCTGCCCGTCTCCTGTCCTGGTGGTGCCTGTGGAGTAACGTTAAGAGACTGTGCCCAGACTCGGGCATCCCTGCAGCAGCCAACAGCAGTGGCCTTCTTTGCTGGCATGTTTGGTTTGGCTCAGAAGCTAGTCAGTGAATATAAGATTTTATTATTATTTTAAATTCTATTTTCTTTTGAAAGTAACAACTTAAGCAATCAGGAGACAGACTGTACAGGGAGACAGTGTGGGGTACAAAGAACTGATTTGGAGCCTAGCTGTTTTTGCTTACTCTCTCCATGTGAGTCAGCTCCCTCATTTCTTTTCATTTGCCAATCCAAGCTATTCTCAACTCAGACCTCCCCACACCTGCCATCTTAGATGCAGGCCTTCTCTTCTGGCTTCTCCTTCCTGCCTCCCCTAACCAGCCAGAGCTTCCCCTGAGCTCAGACCAGTCCTTGCCCTGGGCAGCTTGCTCTCGGGGCAGCCAGGATCACCGAAGCTCCAGGGTTTTCTGCTCTTTCCTCCTCCCTCGCCCAGGTTCAGCGTCTTTCTTTCCTTGTGAGGTTGCCTGGCTTGGTTATCTCTTGGTTGGCTCCATGAGAGCTTACCCAGTGAGAAGCAGGGGAGCCTTTAGCGTGAGAAGCAGGGGAGCCTTTAGCATCAGCAGCCAGGGCCCTTTGAGTTTGTTCGTTGTTCAGGAAGAAAGACAACACAAGGAGCATCTGCTCATAGAGGAGAGGGGACGAAGTCGCTTTATGGCTACTTTTTCACCGTGTTTGGGGGTTTTCCCCACTTTTTAGTGACATTCACATTGAGATCACACTTTAGATTTAGAAACGTCTTCTCTCATGACTTGTAATGAAGGAAGTACACAAGTTTTAACCCCTGTTTACAGGTGAGGAAGTTGGAGGCCAGTGCTGGCCTCATGACTGTGAGACAAGTGGACATGCTCCCCTAACCCTGGGCCTGGGCTCCTCACTCTCATTGTTGGCTCTCACCTGCACTCTTATTTCTGGTGGTGTCTGTTTCAGGAGGAAGCAGAAGAAAAACCAGCCCAGAAGGGGTCCAGACAGAAAGTGGCTACATCGCAGCCCAAGATCACCTGGAGGTGGGTGTGTCACCATGTGTGGAGTCACAGAAAGTGGTGCAAGGGCATGACCTTTTTAAGGCGGAAAACTTAGGGGAGCTCTGAAAAGACCATGAGCTATACACACATTGTCGATCTCTGAGAGTGCTTGTAGTGTGCCTTTGGGAGCCTTTTCAGCCTGTGATAAGGGGCTCATCTCCAAACAGAAGGCTGTGCTCATGACTGAAGCTCAAGTTGTCTTTTTTTTTTTTTTTTTTTTTTAAATAAAAATAACACACTTTAGTTCCACTCATACTGTTCTTTGTTATCTGTCTGTGATAGAACAGCACCTCAGCCTTTTCTAAAGCGCCTCCCTTTGTTCTAAATAGTGCTGTGTGCTATGTGCCCTATGATCTGAGCCCCAAACCAGAGCATGTTGATGTCTCCTGCACCTGCAGCTTCTGGGTTAGCCAGTGAGAGCATGCACGCACACACAGAGGGCCTGACGGTGTAGGTGCCAGGCTTCCCCCACCCTCAAACAGCTGCTGTGGGAAAGCAGAGAGGGTGTACCTGGCATCATCCCCGCTTGATGAGAAAACCAAGGCCAGAGAGGCCCACTCAAGGAGAGGGCTTGAGCATGAGGACAGTCCCGGGGCTGTCCTGGGTTGGTTTGGCTCTGCCGCTGTTTACAGCCTCTTCACGTGTGATTTCTTCTTTAATCTAGAGCAAACAACAGTGCAGAGAGAATTTTCGACCTAATGCCAGAGAAAAACGCTCATTCCTATTGCGCGATGATCCGAGGAATGGCCAAGGTAGGCGAAGGGCCGCCCCCTGTTCTCTGCTCCCTCTGCCCCTTGTCTCCTGCTGACTGGGCTTCCTTTTCTCCTGCCCCTGTCTAGTATCATGCCAACGAGAAGGCCTTCAGCATGTACACGGACTTACTGAACAGCCGGCTCCAGGGTGAGTGCTGCTTAGGAGAGTGTAGAGGGGACACGGACGGATGCTCTGATAAAAAAACTGTCTGTCGGTCACTGGATGAAAGCACGAGGTCTGATTTCAGGCTTGAGGCGGGCGGGGGAACTCAGAAGAGCTCAGACTGGATTACCTCAGCAAGATAACCCTTTGCTTCCTCCTCCGTCGTCATCTCACCCACTTTCATCTTCATCCCCAGAACTTTTTTTCTGCTTTTCACAGCTGATGTTCATACCTTCAATGCACTGATTGAAGCTTCAGCCTCAGTGAAAGACAGATATGAAGATAAATGGAATCTCATATTGGTAAAGTTGTTTTATCTTCTAGCAGTTTGTGTGAAATATTGTAGGTGACCTGAAAATTCCATTTCCGTTTTTAACATTGTAATAATGATGAATTCCATTGCAAATGAGAACTAAATGATGGTGACAGAGTTGGTGATGGTGATGGTAGAACAGGGATAATTCATGAACAAATGAAACTTGATTCAGAAGACCTGGGTTAGTTTCCTCTCACTGATATTGAATGATTGAACATGTGCCATCCTGGACATTATAGAAATGGAAAAAATAGCCCTCCCATGTTTCCCTTTCTTGGAAAGGCTGCTGTTTGGAGTGTGCGTGGCTGACCCTTCCTGTGTGTTGGGCAGTCCAGAGGAAAAGCAGCGTAAGGAGAGGACGCTTGAGTACGGCCATCACTGCTTGCTCAGTTCTGATCAACAGGTGGAATGCTGGCTTTGGGGGTACTCACTCAGTGACTTTTAATGTAGGGGCAAAGCAGATACCACAAGAAATGTAAACAAAGAAAGTAAACCATTCTTGGACAAACCAAAATCCAGTTGTAATAAAGGAGCTTAATTTGGCTCTGTAGATGCCAGAGTCATCACCCAGAGCACTGTGGATGTGCTTGAACCTCAGGCTTCTCCCTCCCTCACTTGCCACTGTCTTGGTCTTGATTCCACTAGGATTTGTTGAGACAAATGGCTGAACAAAAGGTGAAACCAAATCTCCAAACATTTAACGCCATTCTTCGGACCCTTAGGAAAATGGGTTCCTTTGGGAGAATTCCTGCCTTGCAGACCCTGTGTGAAATGAAAGCCCTCAAGATAGGTGAGTGGGAGTCCTGCAAGTTGACCCAAAGAGCCCCGGATTGGGACGTAGTGTTGGCTTTGACAGCCAGCTCTGGTTATGTAGTAGTCCCACATATTCCTTTTTGGTTTTGATTTACTGTTGTTAACAAATACTAAGTGAAGAAGCATGGCATGGTGGGTCAGAAGTGTGGAAGGCCTGCTTCTGGTATCTCCATCCTTCAGCTCTCTGTGCCCATGGCAGGACCCTAAGTTTAAAAGAAGGCCCTCACTGGTCTGCCTTGGTGGTGAGGGTTCCTCTTTAGGAACTCTTTATACCAGTGAAATTGCAGGTGTAGTCTGGAAGAAACATGCCAGGGTCTGCCAGGGCCCTCCCCCTGTTGTTCCGGGCCTGGTGGCAGACTGGAAAACCAGCTTCAGTGTGTATGTGTCTGTATTTTCAGGGTACCTCGTGGCATTAGTGCTTCAAGAACTAGTGGAACCACATTCATACATCTCCTGGACCCACAGAAATGCCATGTTGTAGCTGATGTGGGTTCCTTGGTACATCGGAATTGCTTAGAAATTCTCCCATCTGGGTTGGGGTCTGGACCCCAGAAAGGAAAAACCCTGGACTTTCCCACATGGCCAAATATCTGGCTTCTGCCTGAGGCTATAATCCCATCAGCTGGTCTTTCCTCGGGGCTACACCCAATCTCCCAATTCTCTGTTACCCTTAACCTAGCTTAGTCCTCCATTGTCTTACCTTTCTGTGGCCCCCAGCCACTTCCCACCCTTAATCCTAGCTAGCCTTGGCCACCTGGCCCAGGTCCCTGGCATTCTATTACCTCAGTTCACTCAGACTACTTGGCCACTCCTGGATCTCTCCCACCTTCTTTCTGTATGTAAAGTCCATCTTGTCTCCATTAAGGTGCTCAGATTCTTAAAATCTAGCCAGTAGCTCACTAATGTTCAAACTCCTTAAGGGTCTGCCCAATATGATGGATGTTCTAATAAACCTTGTCTTTGCCTGGGAAAAAAAAAGAAATCTCCCATCTGGAAGCTATAGCGACTTCTGGCTTCTTTGGCCGGAATAAGGTCTGCTTTTCTCATTGCTCTTAGAGCTCCTTGGGCCTGGCATTGCACTAGAGTAAGTGTCAGCCTAGTGTTGGTGTCCTCAGAGATGCCACGGCACAGCCCCTGATCCACCAGCTGTGCCCGTGCACTTGTCCTGAATTGTGTCTGCTGTGTGGCACTACCTAGAAACGCTTGTGCCCAGAGCAGCTCACTGTTCATTTGGACCCCCTGGATTGCTGTAGAGTTAACAGTCAAAGCATTCATATGGAACAGAACTCCTCCCCCAGCTTTCCGCTTAGACTAGAAACCCATAACTGTTCGTACCTATTTTTTACCGTGTTTACCTGTGTCCCAGCTTCATGGTGTGGTTAGCACAGCCTTGGCTTTGTGAATAGAAAGCAGTGAGTATTTTGGAAAGAAGACCAGACTAGAAGCCAAGAGGCTTCTCTCTCCCCTCACTCACTGTATAACTAGGTAAGTCATGTGACCTACCGCGGCAGTCTGTGAGGAGAACATTTTGTGAAGTGTAAGTGTCCTATAAACATCAGTTATTACAACTTAATTCTTTATTTTTTGTTTTATCCCCTTTCTGGCAATTTTGAGAACCTTCACTTTCAACGTATCACTATATACTTGAGATGTTTTACAAATCCGGTACGTATAACCTTATGTTGTGTCTGTCTGTAGAAACTTTAAAAATGCTGAGAATGCCAACAGTAATTAAACAGACTCAGTGAGCTTCTGGATGTGGTTACTTCTAGAGCAGTGTGTGAGTACCAGGCTGCTTGTCATTAACTGTGTCTGTGTTTAAGGTGAGAGTGAGTGGGAGTGGGAGGAAGGAACCTTTACTCCTGCCTCGACCTCCTTAGGGTATATTTCTAATGATGAGATCACAGAGCCAAAAGATGTAAATAGCTTCTTGACTTTACTTGCATATGAATTATAATTTTTGACCTGCTATTAAAGTACCTTTTTTTTTTTTCTTGCTTAGGCAGTTGGGGTTAAGTGACTTGCCCAGGGTCACACAGCTAGTAAGTGTCAAGTGTTTGGTCTGAGGCTGGATTTGAACTCAGGGCTGGTGCTCTATGCACTGCACCACCTAGCTGCCCCTAAAGTAACTTTTTTTAATGAGAGATTTTTCACTTTGAGTTCCATTAAAATAGTATCTTGTGGTTTATGCACCTCTGCAAAGTGTTAACATATTCCTGCTCGTCCTGTTTTATGCTGCCCAGAGCAGTACTAGACTGTGGAGTTTAAAATGTCACCTTGTACTCTTAAGAAGCAGTCGCTTGTTCCCAAGCAACACTGGTGGCCCTTGTAGTAACATAGGGGTAAAGCAGGAAGACCACCATCATTGCTTTAACTTGATCCAGTTCTGGAAATGCTTGTTATAGCAATAGGACAAGGAAGAGAAATTGGGAGAATGAGCTGAGGCAGAGAAGAAGCCGAGTGACCCCTTTGGCGGAGGACATGACTTACTTAGAGAACTCCAGGGAGTGATCAAAAAAATTCATGGAAACAATAACTTCAGTAAAGTAGTATCATATAACCCACCTCTTGTACCTTATTAACAAAACCAAGTGTGAAGGAGATACCAAAAAAACATGTCATTAATTATGAGTGCAGACTGTCAAACTATCGGGGTGCAGATACCAAGACACACATGAATCATATGAATATAACTAGAAAACACTCTTTATAGAATTAAAGATAGACCCAGATAATTGGAGAGAGATTAATTGCTCATTGTTGGACCATGCCAATACAATAAAAATGACAGAGTTACCTGAATTCCTTTATGGATTCAGTGCTTTACTAGTTACAGTTACCAGGTTAAATTTTAATTACACAAAAAACTCATGCTGTATATTGAGGGAGGAAAGGGCAAAACTACATAACAGAAGTCCAGCGTTTGTGTACCTTCTGTGTTTTCCTTTACATATTGAAATGCTTGTTTTTTTGTATTTATTAAATTCATAATTCTTTAAGATGAAAAAAGTAGAAATACATCCCATTTTAATTGGTGCCACAAGGTTGGAGGGACCAACCAAAGTTCTTAAAAGAAATTGTTACGCTTCACTTGTTCCGCAGCCCCAGCTGTCAAAATCTCCTCTAGTTATTTCTGTGACATCATCAGTGAGCTCCAGGGCAAGAAGCTGTGTGTACAGGACCTGGACGATGGTGAGTCCGTAGACTGTCAAATGGCCTCCCTCTGTCCCATGTCGTCCCCCCGCCCCCAGCTCCTGCCCCTGCCACTTAGCACTGTTTGCAGGGAAGATGCCACTAGAACATTTCAGCTGAGGAAGTTCTCTAAGGGTGGAATTACTTTGTTTTTAATGTTTTTTTAATTTTTAATAAAATAATTTTAATAAATTTAATTTAAAATTTTTCTTTTCTTTTTAAATCTTGAGTTCCAGATTCCCTCCCTCCCTTCCCTGCCCACTGAGAAGGCAAATACTATGATATCAATTATACATCTGAAATCATGCAAAACATTTCCATATTAGTCATTGCCCCCAGTTCATCAGTTCCCTCTGGAGGTCGGCAGCACTTTTTCCTCATGAGTCCTTTGGAATTGTCTTGGATTGCAGCCAAGTCATTGCTCTTGATGTGTGCAATGTTCTCCTGGTCCAGCTCACTTCACTTTGCATCAGTACATACGAGTCTTCCCGGGTTTTTCTGAAATAATCCCCCTCATCATTTCTTACAGCGCAACACTATTCTGTCATAATCATGCCCCAGTCATTCTCCAATTAAGGAGCATCCCCTCAATTTTCTAATTCTTTGCCACCACCAAAAAAAAAAAAAGGCTGCTGTGAATGTTTTTATAAATAGAGGTCCTTTTCCCTTTCCTTTGATCTCTTTGGGATGCAGACCTAGTCTCGGTGTTTCCGGGTCACCGGGGATGTACAGCTTTGTGGCCCTTTGGGCATCTTTCCAAATTGTTCTCCCGAGTGGTTGGACGAGTTCACAGATCCACCAGTAGTTCATTCATGGACCTGTTTTCCCCCATCCCTTCCAGCACTTGTCCTTTCTGATAGGTGTGAGCTGGTACCTCTGAGTTGTTTTAATTTGCCTTTCTCTATAATCAGCAGTAGTTTAGAGCTTTTCTTCATGTGACTGTAAATAGCTTTGATTTCTTCTCGAAACTGCCTGTTGATATCCTTTGACCATTTATCATTTGGGGAATAGCTCTTATTTTTATAAGTTTGACTCAGTTCCCTCTGTATTTGAGGAATGAGGCTTTTATCAGTAGTGCTTCACTGTCTCTGGTACCTTTTAGGGCAGTGTAGTTTCCATGATTATCTCTGTCTTTGCTCTTGCTTTGACTCAGATCGTGATTACTGGGAAGGAATTTTTAACAAATCGAATTAATGTGTCTTGTGGCTTATGTCGCTTTTTACTAGACTACTCGGCATTGTTTGTTAGATAAAAATTTTAAAGGATATTTCGTCTATGCTGACCGGGGTTAAGACAAGCCCTGTATTTCTTTTCAGGCCACTTTTTTCTGTCTGCTATGAAGGTGGTAAGTATGTTTCTTGCTAGTTTCCTGTTTCCAGAGAAGACCCTGCTCTCCCTCAGACTCACAACCTTTCCTACTCTTTGCTTCCCATTCCATTATTAGTTTTTCTTCCACGCTAGTCTGTTTCAAATTCTGAGGGTCAGATTCTGGTCCGCTGTCCCCAGCTGAGCAGGCCTTGATTCTGGTGCGAGGCCAGCTGTGCCCCGTCTGGAGAAGCTCAGCTCCAGGCTGGCCCAAGCAGGGCCAGTGGAAGGGGCAGTGCCCCCACACCCCTCACCAAGAGAGGCCGTCTTGTGTTGTTTTTCTGAGGCCAAGTCTCCCCACCTCTCCTGGGCTGGAAGTGCAGCGGCCGCATTCTGATTAGTGCGGCACCGTGGGCCAGGCCGCCCGCCCTCCCTCGACGGCCTTAGTGCTCGGGGTGCTGGCCTGAGACCCCCCCCCCACGGGTGGGATTGGGGGACATTACAGACACGTGCCGCCAGCTCTGTGCTCATCACCCCCCACTGTTGCAGTGTTTCATGCTGAAAGACCTTGACCTCGCCTACCAAGTCCACAGCATCTTAAGGACCGGTGACAATTGGAAGCTGCTTGGGGATTCCTTTCAGAATTCCTTCTATTAGTAAGTCGGGTGATGCAAACGCGAGCATTGGTTCTTTTGTGTTCCTTTTATTCTGTGTTTGCCTGTTCCGCTAAGGCACACGGGACGGCAGGGTTAAAGCAGACTCTTGTAAGTCCTCCAGACAGGGTCAGGGCAGGCATGCTGTCGAGAGAGAAGAGCGAAAAGCCTGGCTCACCACGTTCCAGACTCTTATTGTCTGGAAAGATTTTGGCAAGCTGGCGCGTGTCCAGAGGGCGGCAGATGACGTTTAGCACTTGACTGGCTGGGGTTCGGGAGGGGGAGGAGAGGCCAAACTTAGTGAAAGCGTGGAAGCAGCAGTCTCGGGATTCGTCCCTGGAGGCCTCCCCCTGTGCAGAGGTCAGTCAGGCCCAGGCTTGTAGAAAGTATTCCTGTACAGCAGCACAGCTTCTGGGGCCTCCTCCCCTGGCACGTGCCGCGCACACCTGTCCCGGGCGGCCGTGGCCACAGCTGGGGCCCCGAGCTCGCGTCCTGCAGAGTGGCGTCAAGCGCCTAGAGAAGGGTGTCGTCCTCTTCCTGCAGCCACAAGTTCTTCAGTCTTCTGTGCCTGATGGAGCAAGTGGATGTCACTTTGAAGTGGTACAGGGAGCTGATCCCTTCCGTGAGTGTCGCTTGTTTGTCACTTTTCTCTGTCTTGACAAGTTCACGTCCCACACTCTCAGAATGGGAAGGTGTGTTCCTCTTTCTCAGGTCTGCTTTCCTCACTCGCACCTCCTGATGAATCTTCTCCGGGCCCTGGATGTGGGGAGCCGCTTAGAAATGATCCCCGAGATCTGGAGAGGTAAATAAGGCTTGTGCCCCTGGCCCATCCTGGGGTATGCTCGGGTTAGTCTGTGTGTTCTCGGGCCCGGCCTGAACAGAGGCCAGCTGAGCGCTCGGCTGCCTTGTTGACGAGGGAAGCTCTCATCGTTCAGTTAGGACATCCAGACACAGGGACCTAAAGAAGCCCTCCCCGTATGGGCATGTGTTACTGTGGGCCCGCGGGGAGGCCTGTGATCTGACAGCCGTCTGCAGAGAGCTGAGATGTTGTCACATCCTCCCTCAGAGGAGGAATTGGGTGGTTCTGTCTGGGCCCTGGGGCAGAACCAGAAGGCGATGGTAGAAGTTGCAGAGGGGCTGGTTTAGGCTGATGTCAGGGAAGACTGACAGCTGCCCCCAGCCAGTCAGAAGCTGGGGGTGCAAGGCCAGAATTCTATGGGCAGGACATGGAGCTCCTCTGAGCTTGTTTCCTCCTTTAAGGTGAGAGGCCAAGGCTTTTCCAGTGTGAAAGTCTTAGGATGATGTTCCCTGACCACCAAGAGTTATTGAAATAAGGTGGCAGCTGTGTGGCAGAGTGGATAGGGCTCCAGGCCAGAAGTCAGAACGACCCGAGTTCAGATCTGGCCTCAGATTAACCCTGGTCTAATTGTCTGCCTTAGTCTCCTCTGCTGCAAAAGAGGGATAAAAATAACACCTACTTCTCAGGGTGTTTTTAAGGATCAAGTTAGTGAACACGTCCAGTGCTTAGCCCTGTGCCAAGCCAATGATAGGCATTAAATAAATGGTCGTTATTGTTGGGCAGCTAGGTGGCACAGTAGAGAACCAAGACAGGAGTCGAGAAGGCCTATCTTTGTGAGCTCAAATCTGGCCTCAGACACTTACTGGTTGTGTGACCTTGGGCAAGTCACTTAACCTTAACCTTCTTTGCCTCGGTTTCCTCATCTGTAACATGAGCGGGAGAAGAAATAACAAAACGCTCCTGTATCTTTGCCAAGAAAACCCCCAATGGGGTCACAGTTGGACACGACTGAAATGACTGAACAACATCGTCGTTATTCGTGTTATTATTGCTGTCGTCACGAGTATCTGGGAGTTGGACTGTAGGAGACTGGTGGCATAGCTGTTGCGGCCGACGGGAGGGTAGCCTGTGTGTTCTGTGCTGGGTGCGCAGAGCAGCCATGGTGGGGGCTTTGTCCAGAAGCCGTCTGCCGGGTGACACGGGCACATCATGCCCTGTGTTCCTCAAGGAGCAAGGGGAAATTTCAGGCATTTAGTTCTTTTTGGTTTCCCCCATTCCTCTTTTTTTTTTTTTTTTCTGGGAACTTAGGGGCAGGCTATCGAACTGAACTTGGTGCTTTTGCACCCTTTCCTGCCTGAAAAATAGGGGTGGTGGAATTTGCTAGGTAACTAGTCAGTGGAGATGGCCATGCAGGGTAGCCGTTTTCATTTCTAGTTGTGTCTCTTTTGTTCCAAGATTGCAGAGAATTTGGTCTCAGCCAGCGGAATGATCTGAGGGAAGAAATCCTGGAGCTGATGGCCAGAGAGAAGCATCCCCCGGAGGTAGGGTGACAGCAGCATCCTCCTTGCTTTAGCGTCCCACATCTCAGGCGACCCACGCTTCCGTCTTCTCTGTGTCTGGGATGTGCATGGCAGTGTTGAGCTCTCCCCTCCCCAAGGTCAGGTGGGGGGGTGATCTTAGGTGTCTGCGTGTGCTCCCCTGGGGAGAGAGAGGAAATGGCCTTCAGCTTTCCTGGCCGCAGAAGCAGATGCTGGCGTTAAAACCGGGGCTGCCCAGTGTCCAGGCAGCACGTCGTCATTTTGTGCCTCAGTTTCTCCCTCTGTAAAGCGAGCATACTCCTTCCCAGAGTGGTTGTGGGTTGTCATGAACAAAGCCGGCATGGCACGTGGGTTGTGCTGATGACCACTTGTTCTCAGCTCCAGGGAGCATTTGCTGACTGTGCTGCTGATATTAAATCTACGTATGAAAATGACGGAGGCAGGGTCTTGCAGGAGTGGCCCACCGGCCCCATGAATTGTATTGCTGTCCTCCTCCTGAGGGGTGGCAGGACCCAGGAGGCCTGGTGAGTACAACCCCGTCTGTCCGTCGTTGTGTTTGGGTGCTTCTGAGGGTCTGAGATGCAGGTGTAGGAGGGGGTAGTATTCTGTTTTTCAAAAAAAAAAAAAAAGACTCCTTCAGTATCCACAGTTCTGCCAGACAAAGGCATCTAATGGCCGGCCTTTGTGCATCTGTGACGCATTTAGGACATCCCGTTTGACTGCCCCTCCACAGCCAGGGGTCCCCCCCGGTGTGTCACTGCATGTTAGGCACATTTAACAGATGGGAAGACCGTGGCTCGGAGCAGGGAGGGATCAGCTGCTTGGGTGGCGCAGGAGTGCTGGCGCTCTTTCCGCTGCCCTGCCGGGCCGGTGTTCTCTGTGTGTGTCCGGGGTCTGCTCACAAGCTGGACTTTGGCTTGAAGGGCCAGTTAAGGTTGTCCTCGGCGTCGCTGCTGTGCGTGCTCTTTGAGGTTGGCTGTTGCTGTGCTGGATCAGGCCGATGGCCTCGGCAGGCGCTCCGTGAGGGCAGGCTGTGATGATTGGCGCAGGGGTACGGACCTCAGCTGAATCATGGGAGCTGAATGTAGGTGTGGCTCTGTCCTCCTGCATGTGGCAGGTGGATGGGAAGCACTTACATGAAACTGGTGCCTAAATCTGAGCCTCGTCTGCGGGCTAATGTCGAGTGCGGGCTGTGGTCCTCGGTGGACTCCAGCCTCAGACTCCTGAGCCGCTGCTGGGGGGGGGGGGGGGGCGGGGGGGGGGGGGTGGGGTTTTGGGGGGGGGTTGCCGGGGCCCAGGGGGGGGGGGGGGGGGGGGGGGGGGGGTCGATGCGGAGTGGTCTGGTTTTCAGGTGTGTGTTGTCTGGCTCCAGTTGTGCTGCATGTTTGACACAGCTCTAGAGTGTGAGCTGCTTAGGAGGAAGGATTGTTTCCTTCTTTGTACTGGTATCCCTAGTGCCCGCCACAGAGTAGAGGCTTCACAGACGTTGGGTGACAGCAGTAAACAAGCTGTTCTAACTCAAAATGGACCTGCCCGCACCTGCTGGGGCTGGCCGCCTTTGTCTTCCCCTCCTCCCTTCACAGGACAGACAGTCCTGGCATCTTTGACCTGTTTAACTGTCTCCCATCCCTATCTGTCAGGTTGAAATACCATTGTGGGCTCTTTAGGGACTGCCTCTGTGAAAGCCCCTGGGCCGGGCCCTGAAGGAGCCATAATCTTCTCTCAAACAGGCAAATGTTGGAGAATTTCAAGAAGCACAACAGAATCCCCAGGTGAGTTCCAGTGACCTGGCCTAACCAGTACTCCAGGGATTTTCTGTCGTCTTCAGTGGGCGGGCATGGAAGGCATGGGAACAGCTCACATGAGTTCTCTGTTTCAGAACCACGCTGATGAATGAATTCATGAACAGTGCGAAGGAAAACCATAATCCTGTCCGGGCTGTGCAGCTGGTGAAGCTGGCCCACACTCTGGGCTTAGCCATTTGTGAGCCCCTCACCCAGATAGTACTGGCTGAGTTTGACGTCTCCAAGGAGCAGAAGTAAGGGCTCCCTTTCCTCTTTTCTTTTCACCCCCAAGTCCAGCAAGTAATTGTTAAGCCCCTGCTACGTGGGAGCATTGCTGGGGAGAAGGTGGGTGATCCTGGTCCTCGAGCTTCTGCAGGCACAGCCAGAAATCAAGATAAAGACCTCTGGCTGGAGTGGGGGGAGCGTCTGCTGACACAGGAGCTTTGTGACTTTGGGCTTCCCCATGGGGGCTCAGGGGCAAAGTTGCTAATAAACAAAGTTGCCAGATTAGAGGGGATCCCCAAGATCCATTCTGTCTCTCTCTCTCTCTCCCCTCCCCATGATCTTTTATCAAGAAAGGCTTATTGAAGGGAGTGACAGACTCCTGGCCTAGTATATGCAGAGATACCTTGCTTAGGATCATGATTACTCCTGGAGTCTTTAACGGTCCCCTGGTTATTCAGTTAATTTTTTTAATACATTTTTATTGATGTCTTATTTCTTACAACATAGTTTCCTCCAGTCTCTCTCCTCCTCCCCCTAGCACCATTTAATCAATAGTATTTCTCAGTACGTTTTTAATTGAATAAAAAAAGTCCAATTTTAATATGCACTTGAGGCAGGGTGGTAGGGACAGGAGTTCAGTCTTAGCATACTGCCAGAGTCCCCAGACCACTGTGATTTGTCACCACGTTTGAGGACAGCTCACACATGATTGGGGATGACAGGAACCCCCAGGGAGCTGTTGGTTTTGTTCCTTGCAGAAAAGCCCTGGAAGACTTAGCGGGGACAACCAGTGACAGCGACAGCAGCAGCAGCAGCGACAGCGAGTGAGGGTTGACGTCACTCCCCAAGCCCCTGAAGCTTCGCTGGATCCAGAGCTGAATCAGGCAGGGGAGGGGGTGGAGCGGCGGGCACGTGGGAATAAATGCCCTGTGTCCATCCTCTGGTGCGTGAAATGTCACTGCTGAAAGGAGCGAGCAGGGGAGGGAGGGAATTAGGAATGAAGCCTTTGTCTTACTTTTCATTAGAGAGGACGGGATGACCAATGTTCAGTAACTGGTTCTTTAGGCTTTCACACACATATTTTCACTTTCCAAAAGACCTCATGAGCACTGAGACTGTCCTTCATTGCCAAAGTTAAGTGGAAAGAAGATGCCAGGAGTCTGGCTGCATCAATCAGCCATCACCAGACTGTTTTGTTAGTAAATGATCTAAGTTCAGTGTGTGCCTGTCCCTTGGCAGCAAGGAAAGTGTTTAGTGAAATCAGAAAATACACTAAAAAATTTTCTCAGGGCCTCCTACCAGAGAAAGGATTTCCTTAGGTCCCTGCTTGGGCATCCCTGAGGTGACGGTGATGGTGCTGTGCCCCTCCCTTCGTGGCCCCTTCACTAGGGGCCTGCAGCTTGGGTCAGTGCTGGCCACCAGGTCTGATCAGGGGCCCTTGCAGAGACACTGTCCTGCCGAAGAAAGAGAGTGTTACGTAAGAACCGATTTTAAAATAAGGGCAGATTCTTAAGTTGGACTAAATTGCACCCGGGGACGTTTGAGACATTCCGCTCACCTGCGCACACGCACCCCTCCCTTCTGCCTCTCAGAAGAGCAGCAGTCCAACAGAACTGGTCACAGCCTGGACCACGTCCTGCCTTGCTGGTGCTTTCCCCGGCGTCTTCCTTCACTCTGTGCTGTGCACGTCTTGCTCTGTGACTCAGGAAATGAGCTGGAGGGTGCCACAGCAGCAATGAGGGCCTGCTGCAGGCTGACCCAGATGTCATCGGAGCCCTCTCTACTCCTCAGCTGTCACTTTGGTCAGCACGATTCCCTGGAGCTGCTAGTCACTTTGCTCAAAAACCTTCGGTGGCTGCAAGAGGCTACAAGGAACCTTAGCAAAATCCTACGTGCATTTGGAGTTTGTCAAGTCCTAAGGACTTTTGGGGGTGGGGGTGGAGAGTAGGGGAGGAACAGGCACCTGCAGGATGACTGCATAGAGAATGAGACCTAGCCTTAGACTTATTATGTATTTGGGAGGAGGGGGGCAGTTGGGGTTAAGTGACTTGCCCAGGGTCACACAATGAGTGTCTGTGGCCAGATTCGAGCTCAGGTCCTTCTGGCTTCAGGGCTGGTGTTCTATCCACTGTCCCACCTAGCTGTATTTCCTTTGTTAAAAAATTGTTAGTGGGGGAAAATGATAAATGTTGGAGAAGATGTGGGAAAATTGGAACATTAATGCATTGTTGGTGGAGTTATGAGCTAATCCAGCCATTTTGGAGAGCGATTTGGAGCTATACCCAAAGGGCTATAAGAATGTGCATACCCTTTGACCCAGCAATAGCACTTCTGGGGCTGTATCCCAAAGAGATGGTAAAAATGGGAAAAAAGACCCACATGTACAAAAGTGTTTAGAGCAGCTCTTTTTGTGGTGGCCAAGAATTGGAAATGGAGGGGATGCCCATCAATTGAGGAATGGGTGAACAAACTGTGGTATATGAATGTGATAGAATGCTATTCCATAAGAAATGATGAGCAGGTGGACTTCAGAAAAACCTGAAAGACTTATATAAACATGGGAAGACTTGTATGGACTGATGCTGAGGGAAGTGAGCAGAACCAGGAGAATGTACACAGTAACAGCCACATTGTGTGATGACTAATGTTGATAGACTTAACGCTTCTCAGCAATACAAGGGTCTAAGACATCTCCAAAGGCCTCATGATGGAAAATGCTATCCACATCCAAAGAAAGAACCAAGGAGTTTGAATGTAGATCAAAGCATACTACTTTCTCTGTGTGTGTGTGTGTGTGTGTGTGTGTGTTGTTTCCTCTTTCTGGTGCTTCCTCCTGTTGGCTCTAATTCTTGACTAATGTGAAAGTATGTTTAATAGGAATGTATATGTAGAGCCTGGATCAGATTGCACGCCGTCTTGGGGAGGGAAGGGGAGAAAATTTCAAACTCAAAAGCTTATGGAAGTGATTGTTGAAAACTAAAAATAAATTAATTTTTAAAAATTGTCAGAGCACCTTTTGAGGGAGAAGTCTAACTACACATTCATTGATGTTCCCATAACACTCTATTACACTCATCTTCCAGGTTGTAAGATCCTGTACTTGCCTTGATTCCTACAGGGTCCTGCCTTCCTTTGACTGGTTCCCCACTGCTGGTGTCATCCTGCCCCTCTCTTCCTACCTAAGACCCATCCATTCTTCTGGACAATTTTATCTTTAAAAAATAACAAGAACAAGTAATTCTAGAGTTTGTTTAAGTGGGGCTGGGAGAGTATTCTGAGGCAAAAGGGGTTAAATGTCTAAGGGCTGCAGGTGAGCAGCTAGGCAGAATTGATCAGGACCAAGGACAGAGCTGGACAATGCATCAGGCTGCCTAGGGGAAGCATTAAGGGCCATTCGGCCCTTCCCCCAATGACTTGCCATCGAACAGTTGGGGCTACAACCCCAAGGAGTGATTACTAGCTATCTGGGTTGGACTGAGGAAGGAGCAGAAGAGGATATTGAGGAGGAATTATGAATGCTGCCAACAGGGCATGGACCTGAATGTGAGGATGAATAGTGTCTGCATAGAGCTCCCTTCAGAGCCCAGATTGGGGCAGAAGCCATAATAGAGATACCAGATGCTAATGCATGAGTGCTGTCTGTATCATGAGGACGAACAACTAGGAGCGACTATCCAGGATGGATGCTTCAGTGTTGGGAGAATTGGAGGAGATAGGGATGTGGTTTAATGAATAGCCTGGGGTCAGATACTAGGGGGAAGCGGACATCACAATGTAAAGCAAACCTCTTACCCATTCCTTTGAACCACAGCTGTGCAGACCCACTCAACGTTTAAGCAAATCCAGGCTCAGTGTTGCACTTCACCTTGGAAAGCTGTCAGGAAGGTGGGTCAAGCAGCAACAAGTGGTGATGAAGAAGTGAAGCCTGGGAGACTGACTCAGTCACCCTGGAATTTCTCAAAGCAGAGAACAGGAATGATGGGTATAAACCTAGGATTTAGAAAATATCTTAAAATGTGGATAGGATCCCATGATCTAGGAAAGTGGCTAGTAACTGGATGGGAAATGCTGACGCTATAGCCAGTGGTGAGCCTAAAGGGGACTGATACTTAGCAAGATTGGTGCAGCCCCCTGGGGACCCATGGGCTTTCACTGCCATGCCCCTACTTCCCTGGTCCCTCCCCCAGAGTCTGGCTCAGATACCTCACTGGCACCCAGCCAAAGGGAACTTGAATGCATTCAGTCCTTAAAAGGACTTATCCAAGATGAAGGACCGAGTGCTATTACAGCCCTAGGATGGTGGAAAGGGGCTTTTCCTCTGCATTCCTCACATCCTAGCATGATACCCAGTGCAGATTCTTGGAGCAAAGGGACCTCAGAGCCAACTAGCCTGATACCCTTCTACAGATGAGGAAACCGAGGCCTGGAGAGTCCAGAGTCACACAGGTAATAAGTGGCAATGGGTGGATTCAAACCCAAGTTCCCCATTCCCAAATTAGCATTTTTTGCTGTGCCTTTTAGATCATAGGCTAACCTCTCATTTTACAGACAAAAAAAAATGGGCTGAGAGAAATTAAATCACTTGGAAACCTCACGTGGTGAGAGTTAACAGCAGGTCTCAAAGCAGCTCTTTACCATAGTGAGGTGAAGCCTTCAAGCCCCGTGAATTCATGTGCATGGTGACTCCCGTTCAGAGGGCTTTCTTCACAAGCTCATGGTGAGATGGGTAGAGCGAATATGATGATCTCTGATGAACCAATGAAGAAGCTGAGACTTGGAGTGATCCAGGGTCACACAGCTGAGAAGAGCTCGAGGCAGGCTTTGAGCCTGGGGTTGTGGCTGCTGGGAATCCTGGTCAGTTCTCTCTCCCCTCCACCATGCTCTCATCTGAGCGCCTGTGCTTCTTAAATTCCCCAAGTGTCACTGCCCTCTTCCCCTTCCTATGTCCACACAGCAGGACAACAAATAGGTAAGTGAATGCCTCTCTGGCCGGGACCGTGAGGGATGGGACAGCACCACACCCAGGATGCTCAAATGTAAGGCATGAGTCCAGGGTGAGGGTCATCCTCAACATTAAGAACATGGGTTGAAAAGGAATGGAGGGGTACGAGGAGAACGATAAACACCCCAGGTGGAACAGGTGAGGCTGAGGGCAAGATGGCTAGACACAGGAGCAGGGAGAGACTCCGCTAGAGTAGGCCAGAAAAGCAGTGCAGAAACTGATAGCCACCCTTCAGAACAAAGCTTCTGTAGGCCCCGTGAGTGGGGAGATGAGGTGCTATTCCTGGGTCACCCAAGCTCTGCCACCCATTCCAAGATGTCCCGTCCTCCCCTCCTACAAGAGGACAATACAACTATTAGCTGAAGTTTAAAGGACCCAAACTGTATAAAGATACCTCCGGCTCCTTCCTCTTTGGGTAACAACCCAGCTTCTAACCCACCAACGCCCAAGGAAGCGGGGCTGTCCACGCAAGACACTAAGAGAGGTGAGGGCCATGCTGCCAGGTCAGCCTTACCTCTGCCCCATGGAGAGCAGCGTAAGGAGGGGATATTTGCCATTGGTTGTGAAATAAGGCTGAACCTGGTTTTATAAAACCATCCACAGGCAAGTGTCAGCTTCTGCCCTCCCAGGAAGATCAGATGGAGCACCAGATGGGCTGCCGGGCAGATGTCAGAAATTCCAACCCTCCCCCTACAGAAAGGTTAGCCAACTTTGCCAAGCAGTGTCCAGTTTCCAATTCAGACCATTTCATTCGAAATGCAGCACTGTTTCCACGTGAAGTCATGTGAGTAATCATTTTAAAACCAAGACTATCAAAGAACTAGTGTTTTCAACCATTATTTTTACTCTGACTGGGAGATCAGACAGGATATGAGTAGTTACAAATTAATTTTTGAAAGGTGAACTGTATCAGCTGGGGATTGCCTATACCCCAGGA